ACGACAGAAGTCAATATTGGGAGTAAACGACAAATAAAGGACAAATATCGAAATAACGGATGAACGTGCTGCGTAGACGCTTGTGTACGTTGCTATTAGGAGGACACCAGAACGGTATCTGACATCGGCATGTACTTGTTCATGGTGGCTGACGACAGAAGTCAATATTGGGAGTAAACGACAAATAAAGGACAAATATCGAAATAACGGATGAACGTGCTGCGTAGACGCTTGTGTACATTCCTATAAGGAGGACACCAGAACGGTATCTGACATCGGCATGTACTTGTTCATGTGCCCGATACCTGTTTGTGTTGTGTGTGTAGACGGTCCTCCTCTCTTAAGCTATTTTACAACGGCGATCTTACACGGTGTCGATTAAAATTTCGAATTTTCGTGTTGTATTTCAAGCCCAAGACTTCTTCTCTTCGTCGCTCCCCCCCCTTCGAATCAGCGACGCCAACCCTGAGGGTACGCACTGAAGGAACGATCAGCGTTCGTGCGTGCTCGTACGAAGTCCGTCCCCCGATGCGAAACACCGCCTGTTGCTGCATGCATGCGCCATCCTTGCAGGGATTCTTCGAGATTGGCGTGGGTACTCGCCTTCACACAGGAGCATGGGCACCTAGCCCGGCATGGGGGACAGTCATGAGGGTCAATGCAGACGAAGAAGACAGGATCGTATCGTATGGCGTCCTCATGGACACGGAGTGTAGGGTGTCAACAGTGTCCGCTCGCAATGTGGAGATTGACGTGAAGCATGCGAGGGAGGTAGACAAGAGCAGTGCGGGTGCTCCCAGGAAGTCGGGAGGGCGGGGCGGGGCCGACAAGTAAGGCAGGTCGGGAGTGGATGAGGGGTCGGAGCCCGGGGAGGGCAGGGAGGGCAGGAAGTCAGATGGGCAGAAAAGGTCGGGGCGTGAAAAGGAAACAGCGAAGGGGAGCAGCAGGAAGGGCAGGCGCTTTACCGACGATGAGGATCCGGACGGGAAATCGAGCGGAGGTCAACGAGGCAACGACAAAAAGGTGAGGCAGGCTTGCTACGGTCACCAACTTTGAATGGCAAGTGATGGAGGCACACGGCAATGCCGCTGCGATGCCGTATGATACACCGATTGTCATCCGAGCGCGTCTTGTTTCGACGCAAGGGGGAGGGGGAATGCTGTCGACCATTGTTGATGGCTTTGTGGTTGTGTCCATTTCCTCGCTTTGTTGGTGTGCAGAGGAAGAAGGTGGGCGAGGATTCCGACGATCGTGCCTCCGATTATAAAGACCTTGCCTCCGACTATGAAGACGACCGCGATGACGAAGCCGACAGCAATGATGAAGACGACCAACAAGGCGGGATCAAGAAGGTGATCAAAAAGGTACGCCCCGCTTGCGGCGGCCCGAAAGTTTGCACTCGGAATGGACTAGGCAATATCAGTCCCGACAACGTATTTGGTCTGCTTGAGGTCTCTGAGCTTCGTCTGAGCTTGTGATTGGACTGCGCAATCTTGCGGCCCTTTGATGCGTGGTGTATGCAGGAGCAGGAATGTGCCAGCGGTTAGAGCAAGGGCAAAGGGGCGGATAGTGAAATGGACGAAGACCCGGACGAGGAAACTGGGCTGTGGGGGGACGTAGATGGCGGAGGAATTGCGCACCTTGGCCGCGCATTCGACGTGAAGGAGTCAGCCTACGACACTTGGTAGGCCGCATTCGCCACGGTCATCGGGGAGCTCGAAGAAGAAGGGCATCTAACCCTTCAAAAGAAGAGGCGCAAATTGGTGAGTTGAACACGATTGCACGGCGGTTCATTGTATAGCCTAGGGAAGCCACGATGTCACGTCGTCACTCTGAAACGAGCTGGTGGAATCATTCGCGTTTCAACCTACGTTTCCCAATGCGTTTCCAATGAATCTTTTTTGCCTTCCGGCCTATGTGTCCGCAGACGACCGACAAGGGCAGGCACTACCTCTGCGAAATCGTCCGCAAACACTCGGGGGTGGCGCGTAGGCGTGCGCCCCAAGTGGGGAAGCAGAAGAGGATGCGGAAGAGTAACATGGTGCGAAACATACCGTATATGACACAAGACAACACACCCCCTGGACCGATTTTCAATGTTCGATTACTCCACGACGAAGAGGATGCATAAACGAAATGATACATTTTCGAAAAGCATTCGACGAGACGGTTTCAACGCCGCCGTTTTCGGCGCTGTGACTGTTCCTGCAGTTGAGAAACCGAGCTTCGAAAATCGGTCAAGGGGGTATGTTATCTTGTGTCATATACGGTAGTCTGAGGCTGTTGATGTTCAGAGCCGGAGTTCGCTGCAAGATTTTCGCGGGAGAGTGCGTCGGCCCCCGTTCAACACGCGTCGCGGGATACCGACATCTCTTGCGACGCATGTCCTGTGACTGTTCGACCCGTCGGCCTACCAAAGAGAACACGTTGCAGCGTACAACACGTAGTCCCTAGTAACACATCAACGGCCGGGACACATAGATAGTTCGAATCGTGTGCCGCCCGTGTCATCTCGTTCTCGGCGTTGCCAGTCCATATCACCTCTTGCGTACTAACGCTGCACAGCTACTAGCAGACGTTGCAGGCTAAGCCTGTTGTTTGGAATTGCACACGACAAAGTACGCGCTATGCGTGCTATCTGGCCTTATCTGTCGGCGCTTTTTTCCGTTGAACTTGCTGTCTTTTGTTATTTTTTTCTCTGGGCCGTGTTTATGTTGGGGCGTTCTTGTTTACCTACGTTATGCAGGCGCAGCTAACCGAGTGTCGGACCTGGTCGTAAGCGTTGAAAACAATGTTAGTCCTGCACGCAACATCTGTCAACATCCTCTCCAAAGCCTGGACGTTGGGGTGTCCATTTTGAAGGCCGGCAACGCGAGGCGGCCTTCCTCTGTGCCGTCGGTAGCAACACCGTGACTTCAACTCTCTCTTTAGCCCTCAACTAAACCTATCAATGTATGACGTTTTCGCGGGGTGGAGCCACGTGTACGCCGAATACCGTCTCGAGACTGTCCAGGGCAACCCCCCGCTCCCCTCTTCACCCATATCGCCCATGTGCCTGTTCTCGGGACTCGGACATACACATCGGACATGTACATTCCTCCTAGACGCACATCGGAGAATAGCTCGTACGTCGACATGGCACGTGGGCGCGCCGTGGACCCCGAATTTAGGCGTATCTCTGCGCCAACCGGATGAAATTCACCCGCCGCCGACTCCAATGACACTCGCAACCTCTAGCGACACAGCACACATGGTTTGGTGTCGATTCGTCGCCTTTGGTTGAAGGAATGAGTGGTGTCGTAGATAAGGCTTCACCATATAATACGACACCACTCTCGGGGCGGCCGGACTCCTGCGGCTGACGGTATCTCCGCAGCCACCGGGCCGATGCAGCCGAGTAGCAGCGTCCGTGACAGATGAAAATCGTGGCTTTCCGACAAACTCGGTTTTACTGTCGTTGAAACTCTGTGCGCTGAGATGCGGGTAGTGTCGTATCTAGACTAATCTTATCTACGACACCATCCCCCGGCGCGCCGTGGCCCTCGGATGTAGGCGTTCCACTCAACCCACCGCATCAAATTCACCCGCCACCGACTCCAACGACGCCCGCTACCTCTAGCAACACAGCGCAAATGGTTTGGCGTCGAGTCGTGGCCTTTGGTCGAAGAAATGAGTGGTGTCGTAGTTAAGCGCTTAACTACGACACCACTCTCGGGGCGGCCGGACCCCAGTGGGTGATCGTATCCCCGCAACCACCGGGGTGATCTAGCCAAGTAACGGCTTGCACGATAGCTGAGGATGGTGTGAACCCATTCGAGTCGGTTTTACGTTGATTCACGCTCTGTGCGCCGAGATGCGGGTGATGTCGTACTTAACCGTATCTACGACACCACCCTGCGGCTCCACCGTTAACCCGTGGGTAAGCATATCTCGGCTGACACAGGTCCGATTGAGGTCATCGACGGCTCTAACGATAGCTGCGGGTCGTGGCAAGGTAGCGTGAGTAGTTCTGGGCTGCTGTGCGCTCGTTGGGTCGACGTAGACCACGTTTGGAGGTTTATACCGAGCTCACGATACTGGTGTGCCCCTTCCTGAGTCTGTAACTCCAGAACCACCGAGCGAGTCAAATGAGATCTCAAAGTACTTGAGCGATCGCTGCGGGCCGTGGCTACCTAACGAAGTCAGTTTTACGACGATTGAAGCCCTGTGGGTTGAGATATGGCCTGATACCTGAGGGAACCCTCCCTGTGATGCTGCGGAACCCCCATTTCCGACGATATCTCCACAACCACGTAGCGGATTGAGCTTAACAAGAGCTTGAGTGATAGCTACGGGCGATGGTATTCTAACGAAACTACTTGGACGTTTTTTAGAGCCCTGCTGGCTGAGATATGATCGAATACGTGAGGGGACCCTACCAATGATGCTGTGGAACCCCCGTTCCAGGAATATCTCCGCATCCACGCAGCCGATTGGGTTGAAACATAGCTTGTGTGATCGCCTAGGACCGTGGCGTTGCAACGACTCTAATTTGATTCTCATTGGAAGCCTGTGGGCTGAGAAATGGCAGCCTACTTCTAGGGACCCAGGCCCTGATGCTACGGAACCCCGTTTCTCGATGATATATTCCCAACCGCGTGGCCCCTGGAGTTGAAACAAAGCTTGCGTGATCGCTAAGAGCCGTGGCGTTCCAACAATCCTGTCTGACGTCTGACGCCATTTAGAGCCCTCTGAGCTGAGGTCCGGATGGTATCGTAGTGAAGGAGTATCGTAGTGAAGGATTCACGACACAGGTGTCGTATTTAGCATTATTACCGCAAAATACGGACCGCCATCAGGAGCGCTTTCGAAAAGGGGCCACCAGCCAAAACTTGGATCGGACGAGGCCATAGCAAGACACCAAACCAACTCTTTTTGAGTATCATATCATTAGTACCGGCCCGGGTACCTTGACAAATGAGTTACCCAAATCCACCGCTTACGGTGTAAGTCGGTGCAAAGCATCCGAAATGGCGGAATTTCGATGCTCGACCCCTCACATGGACAATTTGTGCTGCTCACGCACCAGACCGTACGCACGTCGCTGGCCATCAATCAGCAGCGATCGCGATATTCGAGGTGATCACGGTCTATGCTTCGGTGACCCCGAGCTAACGAAAGGATGCTCGATGACGGCCGTCGGCAATCCAGACAGACGGTTCATATGCGCTTCACTCCGCGCTAAACCAGTGGTAGCGCTAATTGAGTTGTACGCAATATCTAGGTGAGGGGGATGATCATCCCAATCGTCTTGTCGTTGTTTGGCTATCAAGGCTATTGTAGCACTTGTGCCATGACGTGGCTTACTCGCTCTAAACCTCCGTTAACGTTGGGGTGGTAAGAGCTATTATCTTCTCTACTTTCGCCGAGAAGATTGTAGACAACTTGCCATAGTTTCGAACAAACCTACCCGTGTGCCGTTGTCAGACAAAAAAAAGGCTCGAGGGGCAACCCCACAAAAGGGATATGAACAAATTAACCAACACATTTGCAGTGCCTGCGGCAGAAACTCAGAGACCGTGACGGCGTACACGTCAGCACGTCGGCTGAAACTGTCGGTGAAGAGCAAAGATAAGCGTAACCCCGAGGGTAGTCAATAGGGGCCGAAATAATCGACACTCATGGATCTAATGCCAGGTAGGTCCGGATGGCAATGGCACCCTCAAAATAAGCCACCTGCACCGTGTGCCGAGACGTTTTGCGAGCTTTGAAAGGCAGGCAGCCACGAATCCACCATTTAGGAGAAACGCTCATATACCCATCCACCAATACAACACGGTCCAACACACACATTGTGCGATCAGCACCAAAGCGACATGATTCATTGGCATGGCAAAGCTGCACGATCAACTAGCGCATCAACAAAGGAGCATTCACTCTGATAGGTTCATCATTGAGAAGACGCGCCGCACGCCCACCGGGCGGGGGGAGGAAGCGTACGAGGGGTTTCGTTAGGTTTCCGTACAAGGAAAACCATGTCATCGTCATCGACATACCCACGGCCTTCAACGACCAATCGTAGAACAACATTTTGGCTGCATTTGACAGTTTCGGACTCAATATTTTCCGAAATACGGAAACGTATTTTGAGTTAAACCGTCGTTCTGAGGATCGCTCCTGACAGTCTTGCCAGAACCCACAACAAGGAAAAAAATTACAGATGTAAGTGCCGAGCGAGGCTTGGTTTGTGGAAAACAATTCACGATATTACGATTTAGCAACTTTCTTCGATGTAACACATCACACGCACCACCGCACGCACACACACCAGTCTGCTGAGAACATGTCAGCGCGGCCAAAGTGAAAAGGCCAGTGTCGGAGCAGAGAGCAGGTGATGAGACGGAATTGCCGAAAGAACTGGTTCAGGATGTTGAGTCAGTACCTGATAGTTATCAGGAAGCCCAGCGTTCAAAGTACGCAAAGATTTGGGAGGGAGCCATGTCTGCTGAGGTTGAAGGCTTGATAAGAGCAGGAACGTTCACGTTAGCAGCAAAAGTCCCGATAGGCTGTAATGTGATAGATGCTAGATGGGTTTTCAAATGGAATGCAGACGAAACAGCAAAGATAGTGAAGGCCAAGGCTAGGCTTGTAGCGAAGGGCTTCAAGCAGAAGTATGGTGTGGACTATCTTGAGACTTTCTCGCCTACCGCAAATGCTGCATCTCATAGATTGGTAGTGGCGTTGGCGTGCAAGTACAACTTGGAATTACTCCACTGGGATATTGAACAAGCATTTGTTCAGTCGGAATTGGATTACGAGGTGTTCATGAAGTTGCCTCCTGGCTGTGGTTCGATGTCAGGAAAGGTTGTCCGTTTGAACAAGAGTTTGTACGGATTGAAGCAGGCATCTAGAACATTTTACAAGAGGCTGGTGTCGGAGCTGAAGAGGATTGGTTTCGAGCAGTCTATGTCTGACCCCTGTGTCCTGCGTTTCATGATGGGAGACGAGGTAGTGGGGATGGTCGCAATTCATGTGGATGACATTCTGTATGCAGGAACGACGAGTCTGGCTGAGGTGGTAGTGGCAGCACTAGGTGACTTTCTTCCCACGAAGAGTTTGGGCGAGGTCAGGTTCTTTCTTGGTTGCGCATTCGTTCGCGACCGCGAGGCTGGTACGATTGAGATGTCTCAAGAGAGTTACATCAGGAGTGTTCTTGAGAGATTCAATGTTTGTCGCACCAGCTCGATCCCTGCTTCCCCTACTAACGATTACAGGTCCGTGATGGAGGATGAGGGGGCAGGAGATGTGCCGTTCCGAGAGGTGGTGGGGAGCCTGATGTGGATCGCCAACCAGACGAGGCCCGACATCTCGAATGCTGTGCGGGCGGTGGCAAGGCACTCTCACGAGCCAAAGAAAAGTCACTGGAAGGCTGCTCAGAAGATTCTAAATTATCTTCTGGAAACGGCACATCTAACTCTAAAATTCAAACCGGATAAATCAGTAGACGCAAGCACATTAGTGTACGTAGATGCTGATTTTGCGAGCAAGGCCAACGACCGTAGATCAGTTTCGGGAGCAATAGTGCTTGTGGCTTCGATGCCTGTGGTTTGGATTTCTAAAACGCAGAAATGCGTTTCACAGTCGACTTCTGAGGCAGAGTATCTTGCGATGGGTGACGGTGTAAGGGAGGCTCTGTGAATGGAATGCTTCAGTTCCTGAGACCAAGTGCGAAGCCTCGGAAGATAGACGTCCTTGAGGACAACGAAGGAGCGATTGCGCTCGCAGAGAATCCGCTTAGCTCGAGTAGGAGTAAGCACATTGATGTGAGGCATCACTTCCTTAGGAATTTGACAGAGGAGGGTGTTATCGAGGTTACGCATGTCACAAGCGAGGAGCAGCATGCTGACATTCTCACGAAGGCTTTGCCGAGAGACCTTTTTGAAGTTCACCGCGACTTTGTATTAGGCTCAAGGAAGTAGAAGTCTGATTTTTTTTTTTTTCTTTGTTTTGCTTTCATACATGCGAAGTAAATATATTTGGTCTGGTAGATACAAAAGCCCCCTAGGGAGGGTGTTCGTGGTAGCGGCCTTATGTATCGCCTGAGCTGCGGTAGAACATCTGATTGGATATTTTTAATTGCAGAACTGTCGATCGTAGGTTGTCATGCCGAGTGTTCTGCGAATACTCTTTGTGGTGGTTCGGTAGATTGTACACACGTAAGGATCGTACAACGGACCGTAGGTGTAAGTCGGTACGTTGGTATGTGGTACGTTGGACACTTGTCCAGTAGGAACGTTCTAGCATTGTCGCTGGAGGTCGGGCTTACGGGTCATTGTCGTGTTCGGTGCATTGCTTTGTGTTCCGAGTGTGCATCTATCCGGAGGACACGTTGGGAGCTGGGAGCATGACGCTCGCCCCCTGTCCTCACTCCACTTTCCGACCTGTCTCTCCATACCTAGGTCTCACCAATACAATATTCTTCTCCAGAAGCCACTGATTTACCAACAAGCAGGGAGTGCAGCTGACGGATGGACCGCTGCTACCCTGTCTTGGCTGTTCGATGTCCAAGGGACAGGTGAAACCCGTCCAGAAGAGCACGAGCACACGCGCAGTCAACATGTTATTTCGCGTGTATCTCGACTTGGGGAGAAATATGAAAACCAGGAGCATTGGTGGTAACTGGTACACACTGATCATGAGAGACGATTTCTCCCGTTGGACGCGTGTTTTCTTCTTGAAACACAAGTCTGGCGCAGCGGTTGGGTTTGAGAAGTTTCTGGAGGACTACCGAACGAAAGGGGTTCCGTGTGAGGTTCATATCGCACGTACCGACGGTGGCGGCGAGGTCCAGGGGCAGTTTGCGGAAGTTTGCCTCAGACACGGCATCAAACAAGAGTTCACCCCCCCTAACACCCCAAAATACAACGGTGTGGCGGAGAGAGCGCTAGAGTTGATCACTGATGCCGCGCTTGCGTCACGCATCCAAGCGACGCAACTGTTCCCCGACGCACCGAGCCACCCCGGGTTGGGGGCCGAGGCCATTTCGTGTGCATGCCATCAGCTGAATTGCACCGCCACTAAATCAAACGAGGGAGACAAATCCGCCTACGAGATGTTCCACGACTCCCCACCGCCTGTCGGGTCTACATACCCGTTTCTTAAACCAGCCGTGTTCAAGTAGAGAAGAAAAGCGAAGTCGCAACCCAAGGGCGAAAAATGATGGTACCTTGGTCCTGCCCACAATCACCCCGTGACTGCGTTCGCATGCTAGCCGAAGCTGGAACCGTAATCACCACCCGCAATTTCACCTGGCGCCACGTGCCCGCTGCATCGCCCGCTCCCCCGCAGCTGCTACCTCTCGCAGAT